TATTTTATTTGTTTTTTGAGTATCTGTATATTCGGAATCTGTACCCCCTCAGCCTTGATTATTGTCTCTGACACGTGGGGTATTTGATCTAAATAACATCTATGGGAATTAGAAACATTCAGTCCTTCAGTTAGGAGCACTTATTTTTAAATGCTTACTATACCATCTACCTTCAATTTAAAAGAGGTTGTGAATATCTTAGTGTGGAACAAGCAGATTTGGCACTCCTTATTTATTGAGTTCTCATTTCACTGTGTGGGAAACACTGTAGAGGAGAGCAAACTGTCAAGTGAAGTCTTTTCCATGAGAATTTGGCACATTAACTCATCCTATGAGAAAGGATAAGTAACATATACCAGTAGAAGGGATTCTGGGTCAAAATTCCACCCCCACCTTCTGAAAATTAATAATAATTCTTTCACTTTCTCGAGATTTGCAGGTGATCAGTTATTCTTAACTTTTTTGTGTCTTTCTTAATTTACTCTCAACAGATAGAGGAGGAGGGAGAGGAACGTTTGATTCAACTTTCAGGGCCAGAGCTGAGGAAAGTCGTATGCGAACAGCTTTCCTCCCTCATCCGCCCTGTAGGGTCTATCCCAATCAACCGACTGCTGACAGAGTTTGCCAATCACTTTGGTTTCTGCCTCAAGTTGGAGGACTTTGAGGTGGAATCTCCACGGGCCCTCATCTCCAAGCTCAGAAACAACTTCAAGGTAGGTTGGTTGCCTGGAGACTGCTGCACGGATTTCTCTGATGAGTCATCTCTCTGCCATTTTTGTGTGATTGTACCATGCTTCTTTAGAGCATACTGGCTCTCCGATGTGACCTGGAGCTGCATGATTCACTTTGTCTAAGACCCACTAAATCAGTTACGCTTTTTTTGTTTATGACGTGTTTTGGGGTCAGGTGAGATGACTGTAAAAAAACAGCTGATATAGCTGCTTCCAATAAATATTTAGTGCTTGTTCTCTTGTTCCTGGGTTAGGAATTGGCACTCAGTATTTCTTGTGTGGAATTGCTACCATCGTTTTTTGTGATATGGAGAAATTAAAACTGGTTATTTTATTCAATTTTCTACGTTTTTAGCACCATTTAGGTTCTGAGTGATAATGCTATTGAGCTGTCGATGTAAAATGACCAAAAAGGCCTTTGATGTCTGTTCTCGTCTGTATATTTGTTGCAACAGGCATACAAAGTCCAACTTCAATATGGGGATTTTCATTGTTTTTAGGCATATTACAACAATCACACTTAAACAGTGCTGTCACTTTCTCAATGTGTGCACCCCTGTTAAATCACATCTGTTAGACTCATTTCTCTTGATCTCACCCCAATGTGTTGCTGCTCTTTTATAGAATTAACAACTCTTTCCATTTCTGTGGGAGGGTAGTTGGAGGATGCCACTGGTAGGTCCAACTTTTCTTTCTTTTACTTTTCTCTGTTTTTCTTTTTTTAATGTTCTAAATGAGTTATTATATTTATTTGCTACTTTTTATTCCAATACATTGTTGTTGGTGGTTTAGCAGTTAGGCACTTTGCTGTTGCGCTCAGAAGAGTTCGATTCCTGTGTGGGGAGAATTTTTATCAGGGTCTTTTTACAAGGAAATTGTATCCTTTTCAACCCGGGTCAGCCGTGACAGGCAGGTCAAAGCCAGCCTCCTTAATGATCTAACTTGTGCTGATGGCATTTATAATTTAAAAAAAAACTCAACAAAAAATAAAACCATTTCTGTGGCAGATCGAAGAACAAGATGGCCAGGAGTGCGTGAGTCTAGTCAAGGAGGTGCACATCTCACGCCTAGGCCTCCAGGTCATGCAGCTACTCATGGATGAGAGTGGGGGTTGTCTGCCCTTGATGGAGCTATGCATGCGTTACGAGACCCTGCACGGGAAAACTTGCGACATAGAACAGCTGCGTGAAGACTTGGTGGACTATGTACAGGTGAGCTGAATGATAGCTTCAGCTGGTGAGAGTGTGGCCTGATCTAAAACTTTTATACTTTTGGGTTTTTACTTCTAATTTACAGGTTTTTCAATCTGTAGAGGGGTCTTCAGCATAGCTTTTTTTCAGTCCTATTGTGTAACTTTTAAAAACATATTTAGAGCTTTCATTCCAATTCGCAAATAGTTTCCATGATCTTACTCCAGACAGATGGCCGGCTGTTTTTTTTAAAGGATATAGTAATGATGACCAATGTTCCTTCAGTTTTTGGAAGGGATACATGTTGAAAAATTTCCCTTGAGCGGATGATGTGGGTAGGTCTGCTCTTTTTTTCTGCTGCCAATGAGCATGAACATTGGTGAATGTGGCAAGTCTTTTTGCTATTTATTTGATAAGTGTATGTGTGCTTTTTTTTCCTGCTCAAATTACCAATTCTATTTTTTTCCCCTGGTGAACTTCTCTTTATCTCAACCGTGTAGAACTACTGAGGGAGCTCTCATGGTCTAGAGGTACAGTGTTCGCCTCTCATTTAACTCTTTAAGCCCTGAGTTTTTTCCGCTGTTTCCTGCAGTTTTTTTCTACAGTCACCTATACCTAGTGCACTATGTCTCATTATAACCCCAAAAACTTGCTTCCAACTTCTAAATAGCGCAAACAAAGGTTTAGTCATCACTAAAAAAACTTGGTTCGGGAATGGTTCCGAAAAACAAGCAAAAACTAGCACTAAATAAAACGAAACAGTTGTCACTAGTACTGGATGCTCCCAGAGTCCGATGAGGTTCAGAGTTAATAGGTCCCGGGTTTGGCCGCCACCTGGGCAAAATGCAAAATTAATTTCTACCAGATGCTTCTGACCCCCGGGGCAGTACTACTGACTGAAGTGTCTTGAGGCCATTCCCAAAGGGGGGACATAACCATGTTCTTATGCACAGTAGAATTGTAATTGTAAATGGGTTGATTCATCAATGTCACGCTCATAACTCTTCCTGAACTTCCAACAGGGAACTGATGCTTCTTCTTTCCTAATCCTTACTATCGTCATTTCCTGTTGGCGCTTAAATGACCAAAATTGTGTCGATAGTGCCGTAAAACATCTACCCAATCAATCAATCTACTTCTTTTGTAGGTTTTGTCACACTTTTGTGACCTTTTTCCGGGGTGCCTTGATACTCGAGTAGACTTTGTGCTGTTGAAACTAGAGTGGTGAGCAGAGTAAGTCTGATTCCCTGTAAGGACTTCTCTGTTGACATCCACCCCTTGGCGCTCATATGACCTTTGCGAGCGCCATAAAACCTCTACTAAAACAAAAGACGGAAAATGCGTAATGTATTCTGCACGCTCATGTGACCGTATCCCGTTTCGGATGCCGTAAAACACAAACCAAAACAAACAAGAATTACTGACTGACCAAACTGAACTTTGACCTCTTCAGATTGACGAGGCTGAGTCTGACACGGGCGGGGTCATCCGACTGACATCACAGCAGATGCTGGGCCGCAACTTGCGTCTTCTGCTGCTGCACCACGAACGAATCAGCATGTCGGAGCTGGCTGCCCTCTACCGACAGCAGTATGGAGTTGAGCTGAGCCCAGCCCTCTATGGTTTCCAGACTCTTTATCAGGTAATGCTTTATTCCAGGCATAGGTAAGCGTGGCCATGTCATCTTCTGGATTAAATGATCTGAATATCTCATGGACCAAATTGGGAGAAAATTAGGGGACATTGGTTGAAACGTCCAAGCTCTAAAAAGTGAGATTGAAACTCAACACTGTAGCATATGCCACTCATGGGCATTGCATGAAATGAAATATTAGATCTGTTTCTTCCATCTGGGCTGGAAACTATTAGTAGTAATTTCAAGGTGGACAGTCTTGTATTTGTTAAGTAATGATGATATTGTTTATAGTAATAATACTTGTATTTGCATTTTTATAGTGTAGATCCATGTTTTACAGCATGGTCTATGTGGTCTACAACTATTAAATCACTGTGGGTCATGTTCAGTATATTAATTACTGGGTTGACTGAAATTGCTCGCAGGCAGGATCTGGTTGTGGGCTGTATTGCCCATTCTTGCTTTATACCTTTGAATTCTGTTTAAAAATCTGGGGAAAAACCCCCCCCCCTCCATTCCAGTGGGTTTGGGGGTAGCAAATAGATTTTTTGCCTGCCTCCATAAGGTGTAACTGCTCAAATTACGAAATAGTACACAGGGGCTTCTACGCTTTGATACACAAGTGTAATAAGTACTTTGACATCAACAGGAGGTGCAACACCTTGAATGGTGTAGTAGTGCTCATGAATGTCTGTCTTGTTTTTTTCTGTCTCTGAATGATAATTTTGTAGTTGATGGCTTATTTTTGACTCCACTCTTCGTGATCTGCAATTCACCAACAACGACAGCACTGATTTAGCACGAGGTCATACTTTCTGTGTCTCCTCTCCTCCCCCCATCCCTGCAGCTGCTGCTGTCTTTCCCACACATTCTGGAGGTGCGAGGCAAACCCCATCACAAGTACCTTGTCCTGTCTGACACATTCGACACCCCGGGCATGCTTCCCCCTGCCCGAGTCGACATGCCGTCTCCGCCACACCAGGCGTCGTCCCCACCACAGCAGCAGCAGGCTACGTCTGGGGTACCGAAGTCTCAGGACGCCAGCAGTGAGTAGAATGGCAAAACTTTGTTAAAAGAGGGTGTTGCGGTGGGACGTATGCTGAAGCTACCATTGTATACGTGACATTATTATGGGGTGCATGAAAACATTTTCATGTGAGTAAAAATATTTATTTGACGCGCTGTCCACTTTCAGCTTACCCGGGCCAGGCCTCTTGAAGTTTCAGAAATGTGTAAATCGTTTAAGCTTGCGTGGGTTTCCCACCACAGTTGAAAATGCTGAAGGGTCAAAAGCAAGAGTCTGCTCAGATATTGAATTGGTTATAACTTTTTCTATGAATTGCAGTCAATGTTTTTGCATGGAAAATCATTGCGGTAATCAAATTAGCTGGGTGACATATGCAACTTTGTTTCAACATTTTTCTGCAGATCTCGGCGGGCCTTTGTTTGACAATGTCACCAGCAAGGCCTCTCCCCCTTCAATAGGCCGGACCACATCTGACCTGCTCTTGTATGCGGCACAGCAGTGGGATAACAGCCTGGCCAAACAGGTGAGTGTAGGCAAAGACTGGGTACTACAAGATGATTTACACCTCTACCTGGGATTCTGGGTGGTTTTTTTTTAAGGGAAACTAGGACCCATTTAAAGGGCAATAAGTTGGTCATTTTTGGATCGATTTCAACAAAACTTTGAATAAATTAAACCAAGGGGAAGTTACATTTATCAATATGAAGAAAATCAATTCTAATATTTGAAAAATATCAGATTTTAAAATTTTCAACCAAAATTAGGTGAAACGAAAATTTTGCAACTTCTTAAAAATCAACCATGTTGTTCTGTATCAAGTAGCCACCATTTGTACTTTAACCCTTAAAACCCTATACCGCTGGTAACCGCTGACGCCCTATTTTCCTATACCGCTGGTAACCGCTGGTAACCGCTGGTCGACTTTATCGTTTAATTCCCAGTGCTAGAAACAGGGGATGTAACTTCAGATGACTCTGTCGCGAGCAGAAAGTACTGATAATGTCATGAGAGCAGTTCTACATCGAAAGTTTGGAAATTTTGCAAGTTTTAAAGACAAATTTGTCACTTTTCGCTGCCAGGCCCTTCAGGCCGCAAAATTTTTGACATTTTTTATCCTAACCAGACCCCAATAATGATCTCCCAGTCGGATATATCGATAAATATGACAGTTGAAGACGATTGCAATATTCCGCATAACATCGATGATTTTGACGATAGTGGAATTGGCAGGGGATCACCACTAAAGCTACCAGAGGCTAGATCTACGGCTGGGTCTAATGATACTTTGACTGAAGTGGAGTCGGGGATCACACACAAGACTTACCTCATAGAGTTGGTCCTAAAAACCAGTGTTTTAACCTTTTCCACTTTTGTTCAGACTGTGCATTCATATAAACATTTTCAAACTTCAGTAAAATCTAACAACAATTAAAGAAACAGTAAACAAAATGATGAACCAACCTAATTTTTTCTAGTATCCCAATTTTAATTCAGGATTCAAGGGAGGTATGAAAAAACAGAATTCAGGGTTTTAAGGGTTAAAGAAAAGTTTATACACAATTTATAATGGTTGGTATTGAAATTGTATACTCCTTGTGATGACCATTTTTCTATTTACAAGCTTCAACACGCCGCTGGAAATTTCTAGGACAACCCTGTAGCATGTTTTTGGGTCGATTCTCTCTCCCTCTCCCTTTCCCTCTCCCTCTCCCTCTCTCTCTCTCTCCCCCTCTCTCCCCTCTCTCCCCCTCTCTTTCTTTTTCTTTTTTGTCCGTATCACGGTATTGTCACCCATTTTATCCTCCTCATGTTTTTAGACTAGCTATTTATCCATCACGCTGCTTCCTTCAGATGTCAAATCTAGGTGTGAGTGGATCTGCCCCCAGCCCGTCTAAAGGAAGTCCAGTAAAAGTGTCAGGTGCCCACATTGCGCCTACTGGAGTCCCTATTGCTTGGCAAATGAAGGCTGGGGAGGGACAGGTAGATACTTTTTTTTTCTTTTTTCTTTTTTTTTCATCCCAGATTAATTGTTATATCAGTCATTTGTCTTTAGCATTGATTCAGGTTCAGTTTTGTACTTTTCTGTAGGTTCCTGTGTCTTACAAAGTGTTCAGATCACAGGAATTTTCCTGAACAAAAAAAAAATGAGAATAGGCAAGTTAAATTTTACAATTTGATCTGCTATTCTGCTTCATAAATGATCTAAATTATGTTTATTTAGCACAACGCAATAAACCAATCTTTCAGCTCTTTTCAAATGTTTACTTTATTGATATTACTGGGATGGTGTGGGAACTGGCTGTGAGACTTACAGAAAGTGACACCATCTTCATACATTAAGTTTTCTATGTTCAACGTACAACTAATCTGGCCGGAACCTTTCAGACTTGCCTTTCAAAGCATGACTTCAGGTTAACCTCTTCAATGCCGCAGGTAAATAGGCCCCTGTGCCGGGGGAAATCCCATGAACCAAGGCTGCTCAGGGGTGACCCCACTCTACATCCCATAGCTTTTTTATTTATAAATATTTCCTCATGAATTTCTGCATGTACATTTGACGTTGAGCCTCATTTTTATTGATATAATTTTGGGGGAATTTCATAGAGAGATAAGTGGAGAAAGGTTGGAGTTAGTCACATGATGCCAAAACAACCCCACCAAACAACATAAACAACAGACCTTCGAGTAATGGTAAAATGAGGCCCAAAAAAGGGGAATACATGTTGTATGAGTATTTGCAGGTAAAGAAGTGACAAGAGGCTTTTCCTGCCTTGTACAACGCTTGCACAATCCATATACATACATGTACGCCCATCTGTGTTTTCTGCCTGTAAATCTTTTTTTGTGTGGTAGATCTAGATGTGTTAGATCTAGATCTAGACGTAATCTTCTTTTCGAGCTTAAATCTGAATCTGACACTTTCAAATGGGAGGAAAATGGAGGTAAACATAAAGGGAAATTAGATCTACCCCAATAATAATTACAAGATTTTAGCTGTAGCTTCCCTTATAATTGGTATCAAAACAGCCACTGTCACAGTCCTGTAAATTCTACGGTCTATAGGCACAGCACCACAAGGTTCAGGCCCATAAATTCTACGGTTGCGGCAGCGAAGAGGTTAAAGGTTGCCCATACCGAATTCCATTTGGATGTTTGACACAGAAGACAGGCCTTGAAATGTTTATATCGTGGCTGTGAAAAGAAAAATGAACAACTCCCAACTTTTTGTTACTCATCCTGTAGAGCAGACTTGATTAGACTTTACAGCGACTGCATTTTTGTTGTTTGTATGCAGATTTTATTAAGTGTTTTTTCTTACATAACTAGCTGCAAGTTATTTCTGTCTTAAAAAGTCTCAAACTTAATAAGATATTTTTGGGACCAATCTGTGTTAACAGTGAAATAAATATTGACTATTGATCCACAGAGTCCTGACAAAATAATGACCAACGTAATGAGAGGCAACATTGGTCTCGTGAACAATTCAGAAAATCAAAATGGAAATGTCAAGGGTGGTGAAAAATGCAACCTCCCGTTCATCCTCGGAAATGGGAAATTGCCTGGTATAAAAACAGATATAGACGAAAAAGGTAGGAAGAATGTTCATGTTTTGATTTTATTCAAGTTAGGAGAAGATCAGAGCAAGCATTTATAGTTGAATGCTTTTTTCCTCTCAGGTGCTGGGTATAAATTAGTGCTTTACCGATTAAATCTCGTGTTATTCACCTAGAGGAAATAATGCTGTGCGTAAGATGTCACAGTCCACAATCTTTAATCGTGTTCTCTGAAAATAAAGACTGAGAGGTAAAGTTATATGTCAATAAAAAGAGAAATGAAGAGATGACTTAATCCACTGACAAGACCTGCATAGAAAAGGCCATAATGATCTTAACTTAAAAGTACTGAGGATGAATTAGGGCTCTGATTCTACGTGTTGGTCGTGTCTTGCATGATGTTTTTACCTAATAATAATTTCCTACCAACTGAAAATATTAGGAGTGTCCCGCGCGCTCATATGACCTATGCAGTTGCGAGCGCCGTAAAACACTTTACAAAAACAAATTGTAAGAGACAACACACCTTGCTTTGTTGTATCAGCGTAAAAGCTTGCTTTTTCTGTCAAATTATATCAATAGAAAGAATTGAAGAGATGGCTTTGTTCATTAACAAGACCAGGTAGAATAAGCCACAATGATGTGAACAACCTTAAAGTATTGTGGCTGAACAAGAGTTCTGATTCAGTGTGTTTTCTCCGACTGTCATGCACAATGTGCCTTAGAAAGACAACACACCTTACTTTGTTTTATCTCTTTTAATGCCTGCACTTCCCATGAAATAGTCTGTATATGTATATTTAGATATTACCGTGTATCTGAAGTAGTAAGCTTTCAAGAGATTTCACTCTTTTTATTCAAAACTTTGTAGTAGTTGAGATATCAATGAAACAAAACAGGAATGTAATCTGCTGTATGAGTTACATTGTGGCAATCTGGGTGAAGGATTGCAATCCAAGGATTAAGTTTTTCTTTTCTTTGTCTTCATCTCTGTCTTCATCTCTCTCAACATTTTCACATATTACCTCTTTACGTTGTTTTTTTCATTCTTCCACCCAGTTCATTCATGTTGGTGTTTGCTTTTTACTTTCCTTAAAGTCTTTTGCTTTTCTTTTGCTTTTCTTTTGCTTTTCGGTGAGTAATTTAAAGTCTTATTTATTACATTCTTATGTGTATCTTGTGTCATACTTAAGTTCTAATGATTCAATATAAAGTTTTTCTGGTGTGATGCCTTTGGCTGATGGGCTTGCAAATACTCACGAGGGTCAGGGTTTGAGTCCTATTGCGTTTTGAATTTTTGTTTCTTTGTTTCTGTCACAGTTGTTTTCTCAGCTCTGTGTCTCTTAAATACGAAGAATTCAAGTGCTCTGCATTTGAGATGATTTAAATTAAGTATTGTGGTTAGTTCAAATTTGAATATGCATGAACTCTTTGGTCCAGGAGATGGGGAGACGGAGACAGCAGCAAGATCAGGATCAACTTTCAAGTTGGAAAATGAGAAGGAAGAGGACATCTTCTCTTCGACCGAGCCACCGTTGGACACAAGCTCCGCCCACTCCCAGCATAACTCCTCCTCCCAGAGCTCTTCATCTGCCTCTCCAATCAAGCGGAAGACTCGCATTGCTGCAAATTTTGGCAATGCTATGTAAAGTGCTGTTGCAGAATTTGCAAGAAGGATTTTGAAAAATCACGACAAGCTTTGGTAATACTGTATAAAGCTGAAGGGCTAGCATTAACACTACTGTGTAAAGGAATTTATAACATTTGGGCATCTTGTGTAAACTATCACTGTGAACAGAAGCAATGTTATGTAAAGCAATTTTCTGCAAAGTACTGTCACTAACTTCAGCAATAATCTCATTGCTTCAAATTTTAACATTCTGTCAAGCATTGTTGCAGTTATATTTGTAAAAGTATTTCTGCAGCTGAAAACAAAGGTTGCAAAGTCGTGTTTTTGTGGTATTTTTATTTTCATGGTTAGAAAGTTTTTGAAGGGTCCTTGTTTTACTTTTGTGCGGTCAAAAATTCGTGGCACAACTTATCCTCAAATATCTGTTTAGCAGGTGGATCAATGTCACCCATACTCTGCACAGCTGTTTGTATCAATTTGTCTTAGCTTAATCATATTTTTCCACGACAATTGGGGCCAGTTTATAAAAAACTTTTCTTCATAAATTTATATAAAATACAATGAATCTCCGTCGTATGGAAAATGGGATTGTTTCACAGTACTTCCCTCTTCTCACACACTTTTTCCATATGTATAATATGTTCTACGCCAAAGCTCACCTATGACACTTTTTATTTGCAAAACTTGTCACGAGAAATTAATTTTATAATGAACATGTTTTTTGCACTGAAATTTACTTTTAAAAGCAATATTGGCCCAGCTGTAAACCTTATAAAATCTGTAGAAACCACACGCTTGGATTTTTAATTAGTATTTATTAAGGAATTTTCTAGAATACAGCTAACAGGGGGTGTTTACAAAAATGTTTACCTGTGAATACGAATTGATACAAGTCAATTGTGCTAAAGGTGGAGATTCTGTGTTTGATAGTGGAGGAAATATTTGACAATAAGGCGCACCACAAATTTTTGACCGCACTATAAATCATATGCCATAGTGTGATGGAAGATCAAAATATGCTGGCTCATGGTTTATAATCTATACAGTTACCTATGTACAAAATTGTTGCCCATAAGAAAATAGTGAAAAAGGATTGATTTCTTAGAATCTAAAAATGCTTACTTAAGGAGAAAAGAGATACATCAGACTCATTGGAGACTCAGCTGGTTTTTCGCCTGACCTGTTCTCAGGAATAGGGCAATTTGATACAGTGTGTCAATGTTTTCGGAATATTGCCCAGTATATACGATCTTTTGGTTTTTAATTTGTGCTTTTGACTCAGTCGGAGTCTTTTGGCTTTTCTTATTATAACTTATAGTTCAAGTTACTCCTTGTAGTTACTTAAACCATCTCATTCTTAGTGTTGACTTCATGAACAAGATTCTGTGATGAACTGCTATTCCTTAATCAGCTTTTGCTGTCTGGTGCTGTTGTGGTATGAAAATCTCTTGTGGTTTCCAATTGTTACAGTGGTGTTTTCAGTGTTGTATTTTCAAGTAGTGGTGAGTGTTGGGGATGGATGGGTTGGTAGGTGATTTTGTGTGGTCATCTCGTACTGCTTTTTAGAAATGGTTCATGGTCCCAATATGTCCTTGTAAGTGGTTGGAAGGTGCCACTGGTAGCTCCTGCTTTTTTTTTTCTACCCCTCTGCAGCTTTTGTCTTGCTTTTTTCTCCAACAAAATATGAACATCATGCTGTTGTTTTGCTTTTTTAAAACTCAAGATTCAAAGTCAATTTGTATGACAAAATGTGTCCTTGGTCGTATTACCTCTTTAGAAATTCAAAAGAAATACAGAAGTTCTTAAAGTGAAAGTCACTCCATTCTGCTTTATAAATCCAAGAGAACATTTTACTTTTACTTTTAAGCAAGGCAAATTTGGTACCTAATTCATGTTGGGGATTCAAGTTTCCAAGGGTAAGACTCCTTCCAGTTTTGTTGATTCAGATTCTTTGTGTTTCTGCCACAAATCATTTTGAGGCGCTGGTCGGGTCTGTTGTTTACCATATCGATGCAATTGGGAACACATTTATTTTTTATGCAGTGTGTTTGCTTTGTCTTGATACTTTGGTAAGTTGCGCTATTGAAATAACCCCAGTTTTCTTTGTTTGAACTTTGAAAGCTCTACCTGATTTTCTTTGTTCATTGTGCGTCCCAACACAAATATTTTTAAAAAGAAGTCTTGCAATAACAAGATGTGTTTACTACTTTCTCCGATGTCAGTAGCTTTCAGAAATCGTGGAATGAATTCATGGGAAAGGATGTGGACACAGGTGTTTTTCTTCACCTGGTTGATAACTCATTCTCTGCCTATTTTTGTACCAGCTTCCTCAGGTTTTATCTTTGCATCCAATCGTGAATGTAGTTTCGAGAAGGATTTTCAGTTATAAGTAAAATGAAATAATAAGTATGCAGTGTCATACATATTTTGAAAGGTAATAAAATGTAGCATTGAAATATTTGATTAGGCAAACTATAAAATTTATATTTCGAAAAAGCATTCCTGAGCTCATAAATGAATGTTGCATTCAATTTCTACCATGTTCATGCAAAAAGATATGAAATTGTGCAATTCTAGCAGATTTAATTTTCTATTTTGTAACATCACTATGACAATACCAAAATTTGAAATGAATCAGAATTCTGCTCACTTCCGTATCTTAACTATCCTCTTTGCTGTCATTGTAGATTTATAATAGATCGTCTCCCGAATCAGAATCTAAAGCTAAGGATTCTAGGTCATTATCATCTCTATCCTCAAGTTTACTAAATAAAAATTCCGTGGTCTGTTTCACAAGTTGTAGGCCTATGGGTTTATTAGCTACTAGGCCCAGAAACATAGCTAGTACTAGAAATGGGTGTGGTCATCTTTCGTGTTTTGGTTTCACAAACACACCACACACAATACTCCAACAATTTCAACTTTTCACCCACTTACGTAGTCTTCTTCTTCTCGATCGCATCACACTTGAAGTCCGGTATCTGTCATAAATTGGGCCGTCCTGGTCAGTTCATCTGGCGGGCCGTATAGCTTCTCTTGTAGCGTCAGTGGGGTTGGCCACGTTTCCTGTCTCAGGGCCCTGTGTGTCTTGCAGACTTAGGTAGTTATAGGCACTATATTTCGTTGTAGGAAGTTTCTACTTTTGAGATTTGTTTATATCTAAACTTAATCAAAATAGTTAAAGGGCAGAGAGCGAGTTAAACAACTGTTGGTGCAGGCTAATAAGTGATTTTCACTTTGCATTTCTATGTCTTACCTTTTTCATGTACCTCTCTTGTTTTTATATATGTCTTCCCTTTTCTCAGCACTAAATGGATGTTAATTGTGTTTAAGCACATTTTCTCTTCAACCCAAACCCTTCACTTTGTGTAAAAATAATGCATTGGCCTATGTGTAAAAATGTCTGATTTAAAAAAGGGTTTAACTTCAACAGGTCATCTTTGTGCAGAAACCAAAGCAAGTTTTTACGTGCACTTCTGCGTGGATGTGGATGTCCTGCTCTTTGTGTTGAGCTAATCAGGAAGTTATTTGCCGACTAGGCGTCAAAGTTAATTTGTTAAGTGGGAATATGGAGAGGTGCTCAGGCACATGTTTTCCATGTGCGGGTGGTTCCGGCCGCCACTAGTAGGTCTCGCTGTCCCTCTGTTGTTCGTATGTTGCTCTTTCCCTGCTGTTCATGTCTGTTATTGCTTCAATGTGATTCTCTTTATTAAGTAAGCTGTTTTTGAAATAGTCGAACCGAACTTGTCCAAGATGGCCAGCCATTGTCAAGGAGAGAAGGGGTTGTCAGGTGTCATAATAATATAGAAATGATGTAAGGGGAATAAGTAGGAGTCGTAGTTTGTTGAGGTGATTGTCTTGGACAGTTGTTCGTTAGAGCGGGTTCGACTGTATTTGCTTTTTGTTTGTGATGGGGGCTTAACGCTTTGAATTAGTTGTAAACCTTTGCTGGGGTCTGTCAGTGAGAATTGTTTTGATTTCCTCTGTCGTACTCATACCCACATGCCATGGCACTGTTGGTTATGAAATTGGCCAGCCAGTGTTTTTTCATGTTTTCACCCGTTACGGAGTGACTTTTGTTTATTTTATTTTTCTCTGTACCTTGTCCTGATCAGGCAAACTTATGTTTCTTTGTAGGAATATCCTGTATTGAATCTTGAACTTGAATGGAGTGAAACTTCAACAAATAGAGAAAAAAAAATGCGATTTGACTTTTTAAGAAAATACACTTTTGAATTCACGGTATGGAAACTTTAGTCAACATTTTTGCTAAAGCCGATTTGTTCTTTTTATAAAGAGAAAAATTTGACTTGCTCTTTTTAACTACAAGAAAGAGGCAGCAACATATCGGTGCATTCTTTTCCCGGTTTGGGTGCAGGTTACCTCATATTTGTATCTTTGTATTTTGTTAGAATAATCATGTTGTAGTTTTTGTATGTTGTTGATTAACGTTGTGGTTTCGGTCATATAATTTTTGCTATTGTGTCAGTGTGTACTCTCATGAAATATAATAATTGGTCTACTGTATCCAGGTCTATGCATGATGGCCTGGTCAGTGGGTCAGCTCAGTGGTCAGTCAGTCTCTCTTGACAGTTTGTTACTTTTTAAATTTGTTGAACATGCAATAGGGTTCTTATGACAATCAAGATATCATTCATTATGGATACAGTATGCACAGTGTGCATTTTCTTGTATAGAGAGTTCTGCTGCCAAGTTGATTGTTGGAATTTATCTAGATCTGCGGCGTTGTAATGGAATTTTTGATCATGACGTTTCTGCCTTGTCACTGTGTGTATGTCACACAACACTAAGGGCACCACTCTCTCCAAACTCTCAGGAACCAGAAAGCATCGTTCATTGTACTGCATGGCGGGTTCTGCCCTGTGCTCACGTCAGCATATGTTTGTTTTTTTAAGGTCTGTATGGTCAGGACTTTCCCTGAATCCAGATGGTATTGCCTTATTGGGCATGATGATAGAAGACTGATACAGTTGTAGCGTAAAAGCCCATACAGGAGTATCATTATGTCATGTTATAAATTGTGCTGAAGCTGCACTTGAAAGTTGGATGTGTGACTCGGTAAATTGTTGTCATTATTTGCTGTTTTTGCTATTTAATATGTGAAAATGATTTCTGATCTTTTCCACCTCCCAGTTCCCTTGAGTCCTACTGAAATCCTAATTGCTTTAAAATTAAACCTTTAGATAGTTCCTTAATCAAAATTCCAAGATGGATGACTTTGTTGTTTTAGTCCTGCAGTCCAACACATATTAACAGAGAAATGTAATTCTGGTTATTTGGAATGCTTATCGGTTTAGTTGATCCCAAAACCAGAGTTACTTTCCTTTGTTTATACTGTATTTTAAAAAAATAAAAAAGGCATCTTTCCTCATTCATGTGAGGAACTAAAAAATGTTGGGAGGTGGGGCTGCAAACAACTGCAAA